CTACTGTAGCAAATTAAAACTACATATGTACACATTTAATGATCAGCCTTTTGTTACAAGTTTTAAGCTAACTGTTGTTTCAGATTTTTTTAAACATCTCCAAACAATTCACAAATCCTGACATATGGAGTTTATACAGAGCAGAGAGATGTCTCTATCCTCATGTGCTAATTTATACATGAGGTCAGCTAAAACATTCAGTGGCTGAAAAATAGCCAATAAAAGCTAGTTGATTATAGGAAGGTAAGACTTTAGAGCTGTACAATCTGGAGTGGGTATAACTTGGAGTTTGTGTATGAAATATATGCTCCTTTTCCTTTAAAAGAGACATCTATAAAGGATTAAAAAGCCATCTCTATAGGATTTTTAGATGTAACTTTAGGCAATCCCCATGGAGTATTTCTTTGTAATCTTAAAGATCATTTGATAGTGACTATACTAGATCTGGAGTAACATGCTAGTGTCATCTGTCAATTATTATCTGTGTGGACAAATATTCACCTGCATTTTATTTAGTGGAACAATAATTTCTGTGGGCTCTTTATTAGTAAGGGATTATTTCTGAGCTACCTCTTTAGCAGCAGCATTATTTAATAAGCGAACAGCCTGCTCCACTTGAGGAGCTACATTTCCCAAAATCTCACCCTAGAGGTTCCAGAATGTCATTCAAAGAGCAGAGGCAAAGCCCTAGTAGTGATAAACAGATAAGAACACATCCTACAACATGACCATGGTTTTAAATTTTGCTCTTTCAGTTTACCTACAATGAAATATAAGTGTTCATTTAAGTGTTGATCAGACAAGCAGGAGGAGAAGAGCATGCTTCATATAATGAATGACCAATACCTGGGGAATTTAAACAGTGTTGGCTTCCTAATGTACTTCCTAATTGTAACTGATCCTGTACCAGAAGTTGGGCCCGTTTGAATTTTCTCCATGAATGGACCGTTGATATTGAGTTATTCCCGCTTTGATAGAAAAATAAAAACCAAAAGCCAAGCACACAGACAACAAGTGAACTCTAAGTCTGGGAACAGCTGAGCTGGCCTGTGCTGCAGGCAGTGGAGCTCCGCCTGCTGTTCTGAGAAACTCAGGCATTGCAGGGGTCTCTCTTTGCTTTCTAGCTGCTGGGAATAAGGGACTTGGTGAGTTCCAGTCAGATGCATAGGAGGGCCAAAACCAAGTGCTTGGAAGCCAGGCAGCTGCAGGGTATATTGGGGTGCCCTGCCCAGACCTGCCAGGACATGTCTGCCAGAAGATTTATTCTTTCTCTGTCACTCTCTCTCTCTTTTTAAAAATTAATCGACAGGGATTTCATCTTCCCTTTCATAGGAATCTTAAGAACCCATATTAATTCCATCTTTTCACTTGAGGTTGTGAACTCTTTATCATGAGGCCTGAGGTTCCTACCTCTAATTCCTTTTTTTTTTTTTTTAATTTTGTTATCTTCTCCAAGGACAGAGACTACATTAAGAACCAGATTTCCTTGGTCTGCTGTGGTCACTTTAGATGGGGAAGGCACTAAGGGGGTTCAGAGCTGTGCACCAGGGTTAGGGGGTGAGAGATGTGGGGGGAAGCAAGTGCTGTGGGAGCGTCTGGGTCTGGGAGCCCTTGGGCAACTGTTCCATGTTTTAGAGCAGTTAGCACAGCCTGCCTCCCTGCCCACCTGCCTCCTAGTACCCTTGCTTCCTGTAGGATCAGCCAGGTCCAAGGTTACTGGTCTGCACACGTCCAGAGAGGGACCTAGGAGCTGGGACGTCCCCAGCCTTTCTCCAGGAAGAGAGTCTGAGGTCTAACTCTCAGGACCTCAGGGTGAAATGTCATTAAGAAGTGGGGCTGTGCTAAGTGATGGTCATCAGGATGACTCCTGGCCTGAGGCCGCTGGCTTCCTTGGGTGATGGAGACATTGGACAGAGCTGTGCACACAGGGCGCTGTGGTGTGAGGGAGGAGGCAGGGAGTGGACAGCAAGAGCCAGCAGAAGGCAGAGGCAGGAGCAGAGTCTCCCTTGGGACACTGGAAGGGACCAGCCCGCTCTAACCCAGAGCCACTCTGCTCTTGAATCCCCACTGTCACTCTGTCACATGAGTGTTTACACACTTTGTCCCTGCAGCCCTAGGGAATGACCCGCCCCCTTGCCATCTCCCTGTCTGTCCTCCCCTCCCTCACTCTGCTCCTTTGTGTGTTTCTTCTGGTTTTTACTTGATCTCTGGGTCTCTGCAGAGGCTGTTCCCAGGACCTTGCCGGCTGCTCTAGCTCTGCATTTGGCTGGAGGTTCTGTCCTTGTCTAAGACCTCCCTTCTTCAGGGAGCCACTCAGGAGCACTTCCCAGGTCCCAGGCAGAGTGAGCTGCCCTGCCCCCACTTTCCCAGGATCTTGTCAACTGAAGTTCCTGTGGAAAAGGGAGGAAGAAAGAGAGAAGGAAATAAGACTCTACAAAGCTGAATAACTAATTAGAACTTTGTGATGGAGAGTTGGGATGTCGTAGATCCGGAGACAAATTATCGTGAGCTCTCTTTCGTATTTTTAATAGTCAGTCATTGCCCACTGTATGTTACTCATCTGGGAACCAGGCCAATAAGCACTGCTCTGGCAAGATACATCCCTGGGTGCAATTGAGGCATGGATGCTGTGGGGGTCACTGGCCACATTCTGACTGGAACTGAGGCCCACAACACAAGAGGAAACTCCAACCTGATTCTTCACATCTGGTCAAGGACCCATAACTGAGAGCTCACAGGCCCCAGGGATGAACTTACCACAGCTATTTTGACAATAGGACATAGTATCAGATTGCCCTCTGCAACTGTATGCCCCATATTATGGAGGCATTACTCAAGTGAAGTTCCCGCTTCTCAGGTGGACTCTGCGTGTGTCAAGTTGGCATAAAGCCCAGCGAAGAGAGACAGTCAGTTTTTGTTAGGGGTGTGGTCACTGGCAGGTTGCCTACATCCCAGGTGATGGCCTCTCACACCCCTGTGAATATGAGAAGCACTAACTTGATTCAGTGGTTTAATCACTAAAAAAGTGACATGAAGTTGGGAAAGGATTTGGGGGAAGAGGTGGTTGACTTTGATAAACAGACGTGGCATGTATATTATGAAAATATCAAAATGGCCAGGAGGATTCTTAATTCCACTACATGTTGCCCTGCAAGAGGCACAAGCCACTTCCTGCAGAGATGGTCAGTTCCTCACAAGGAGCTCCTGAGGATACTGTTTCCCCAGCAACAGTTGGAGACACTTGGCCAAAAGGGTTAAAGACTTGGGCTCTTAGACCTGTGACCCAGGCACTCCCTGGCTCAGTCAGGCTTACAGGGGCATTGGCCTCATTAGACTGAGTGACACTCATTACAACATGCAGGATGGCGAGGAAGAGGTATCGATGAGCTGGGGATAGTGGCACACTATATAATTCCAGCCTTCGGGGAGCTAAGGCAGAAGAACTGCTGTAAGTTGAGGCTAGCCTGGCTTATGTGACTATGAGAACCTTGTCATCCACAAAAGAGGTGAGTGAGAAGGCTCAGAGGGACCCGGTGTTTGTTGATAAACCTGGTGGCCTGAGTTTGATTTGGGACCCACATGGAGGAAAGAGAGAGCCGATGTCTACAAGTTGTCCTCTAACTCCACATGTTCACACATGCGAAATAAATGAAATAGAATATTTTACAGTCTAATCAGCCTGGCTCTTACCCAGATCTGCTCAGGACCCTCAGCTGGTCTCCTCTCTTCCCGTCTGGCACCTCCTACATGGATGGGGCCTCAGCATCTCAGTTCCCTCAGGGATGGTCAGGGCCCACCACGGAGCCTCCTTTACCAACCATGCCTGAACACTGTACTCTTTGCTATGGGCCTCTGACCTTGAATGACACAGACACAGACAGCTTCCTGCTTCTGCTTCTTTAAAAGGAAGATCCCTTACAGCCACCTACGGCCTGTGGCCATAACCATGAGCAGAGCCAATTTTCCAATTACTTCCTCAGTCTTCCATTTCTTGCTCTGTGCAGTGATTCCAACTGTGATTAGGGTGTGTGTGTGTGTGCACGCTTGTGTGTTTGTATGAACTTGTGTTTTTGTTTTATGAGACAGGGTCTCATCATGTAGCCCAGGCTGACCTCAAACTCTTCATCTTTTGTGTTGGCCTCCCAGGTCTTGAGATCACATGTGTGGACCACCTGCCATGATAAACATCTTCTCCTGCTGGGCAGAGAGACTTTGGCATGGAGACAGGCTTGTCCCTCCTGGTGATATGCCCTGGGTATAAGTCAACACTCCACATTATTGGAGATTGGCAATTGACTGATAATGCAGGTGGTCACAGCTGGGCAGAGGGGCACATCCCTGTAACCTCAGTCCTTGAGAGGCCAAAGCTGCAGATTCCCAAGTTCATGTCTATCCTGGGCAGCATAGTGAGATCCCTCATTAAATAAATATGAACCCGTCATCCTTTATGATGGACAGATGGGGTGGGGGTTTGTGGGCAGTGAAACTGTTGTGGATGATGCCTTGGATGATGGCCACATGGGTGTGCACCTGAGAACCCAGGGAACAGTGAGACCTGAAGGCTGAACTTCAAGGTAGCCAATTCCTGGGAAGACAGCTCATTATCATGTCCCGGTAGGGACCAGTCACCTGTCACACACCCACCACAGCAGTGGTGGAACTGAGTGCCAGCCATCTTCTGGATGCTTCTCACTTGCTCTTTCAGCTTAAGTGACATGTGTGTATTGCTGTTAAAATCTACAATGATAAAAAATCATTTTCTTCAGTAACAACAGAAGATAAAGAAGAAAATAACAGGAGACAATGTGTTTAAAATGCTTCATGCCTCCTGGTCCACAGCCTGTTGTGAAACACCATTGTGTCATGGAGCCCAGGATCCATAGACCCCAGAGGCAAAGATCTGATTTGCATAGCCCCGCCCTTCCCGGGAAAGAGAAACTAGCTGTGGATATAAGGGGTTCCAGAGGCAGCTGCAGACAGAAAACACTGCTGGCCCCAGGATGGAGCAGGGACTCAGCAACATCCCAGCCAGAGGGCTGGACAAGTTCATAGAGGACAACCTCCTTCCCGACACCAGCTTCTGTGACAAGGTCAATGCAGCCATCGACATCATATGTGAATTCCTGAAGGAGAGATGCTTCCGAGACGCCGCCCACCCTGTGAGGGTCTCCAAGGTGGTGAAGGTAAGCCCCCCTCAGCCTGAGCCAGGCTGCAGCCCTGAGTGGGGGTGGGTTACCTACCTTCTCAGTGTCCCTGTGTTCTCATGGGCACCCAGCTGTGGCACAGGATAGAGAACAGAACAGCACCCCCACCTGCTGGATGACTGGACTGATGGAACCTCACTGTCCAGGTGTCCCATCTGTGAAATGGGACAACATGACAGCAGTACCTCACTCTCAGTCACTGTGACGGCCACTGAAATGTCAGTTTGTAACGCCAGCTCCACTCTGTGGGGTGTGCAGTGTGTTAGTGAGTGTGTGCAGCATTTTATTTAGGGAGGCTCTCCTCAGTATCATTATTTTCTCAGAATCTTTCTCTTTTTGAATTCAATTCTCTAAATTTAAGCTTTTGTTCTGTGACTTTTTAATACTGTTACAGGCATCTTCGTGAAAGCATGTGGTGTAAGTTTAGTGTATTCCTCTTAACATTCTGCTAACAACGGGGATCTTGACAACCATTTCATAAATCCGTGTTAATTTACTCACAATCTCCTCTCACCCACTACCATTCTGTCCTTTATCCCCCACACTGACGTCCCCAGAGAGTCCCTCTCTGATTGCATGTCACCTGTGTGCAGCTAGATCTAGAATCCACATGAGAGAAAATGTGCTATTTGTCTCCCCCATTACCCTCCCTTCATCCTCACTTCCTTTGGACCCCCTCCCTTACCTCCTCTTAGTCCTCCATCTATCATCACACAGACAGAGAGACAGACAGACAGACAGACAGACAGACACACACACACACACACACACACACACACACTCACAAACATATTTAAATCTAGACCCCACAGATGAACACTGATGTTCATCATTCCGAGTCTGGCTTACTTCTTGTACCATGAGAAGATCCAGAACCATCTATTTTCTTACATTGATCCGGATTTAACTTTTCAGGGCTGACTAGTATTCCAATTCACATGTGCTGGCTTTCTCTGTTAGCCCATCGCCCTGGGTGGTGGACCCCTAGGCTGCTGAGGGTCTGGACTGCTGGGCAAGGCTCTGCCTGTTGTCTGTCATTCTCATTGTTGTCTTTCAGGGCGGTTCCTCGGGCAAAGGCACAGGACTCCAGGGCAGGTCGGACACCGACCTGGTGGTGTTCCTTACCAATTTCACCAGCTTTGAGGATCAGTTAAGCCGACGGGGAGAGTTCATCCAGGAAATTAAGAAACAGCTGCGCACGATTCACGGAGAGAGACATATTTGTATGAAGGTTAAGGTTCAGAGTCCACGGTGGCCCAAGCCCAAGGCACTTAGTTTCAAGCTGAGCTCCCCCAAGCAACAACACAAGGTGAAGTTTGATGTGCTGCCCGCCTATGATGTCCTGGGTAAGCCTGTCAGAGCCTCAGCGGGCCCTTCCATGTGCCTTCATCCTCTCCTCTGTTTCTGTGGGGGGGGGGGCTGGGAATGGGGTTCACATGTGTGCAGACCTATACACATGTTTGCAGGTGTGGGTAGAGACCAGAGGCCAGTCCTGGATGTCGGTTACTTAGGAACCTGCTTTTTTGAGAGGTTGACCTGGAATTTGCTGGTCCACCTTCATGGCTCTTACAGCATGCAGCTGGGGTCAGGTGGGGTGTGTGCTCTGACGGAGCTGCACCCACAACCTCGGGCAACCTGGAGCCTCAGCGTGTTTATTAGGGACAGCACAGGTGGGGGAGGGGTTGCCTAGTCTCATAGGAGGTGTCTGTAGGAGAGGACTCCCAGGCTGTAAACAAATATACTCAGATATATTCAGGACTTCACTCAGGCTTCCTCCACTCCCTACAAGACAGCCTGGTTGGTTGGTTTGTTTGGATATAGGTTGACCTTTGACCTGGAGCTGGCTGATCTGCCCATCTGGTCAGAGAGTGGGCCTGAGGGATCCTCCTGGCTCCACCTCCCCAGCACTTGGATTTAGGTGTGGACCCCCATCCCCACATGCAGCTTTTTATGTGGGTGCTGGGAATCTGCTTTTGGGTCCTTATACTAACCTATCAAGCCCTTTAATGGAGCCGTCTCCCCAGCCCCAGGGTCGTCCTACAGAACACCTGCATGGTGATCAGCTCTTCTTGTGCCTGAGTGTGGAAATTCTGTGTCTAAAACTGTGACAGAGATTAACATTAACAAACAAAATTAACATCTGTTGCATCTTCTATGAGAGAGAAGGAAACCTCAGACCTGTGCTGAGGCGTGTGTGTGTGTGTGTGTGTGTGTGTGTGTGTGTGTGTGTGTGCACTCCAAAATTACAAACTGCCCAACTCTACCCAAAGACAACCAGGAACACCCCTGAAGGAACAGTGGGGGTTTGGGGAGATGAGAAAATAGTTGAGATTTTACACTTGCTGGCCACTGTGAGAACTGCTACTATTAACTTAGAGACAAGGCCACTGCCCTTGACTTAGGAGAGCCATGGACACAGTGCAGAGTCTCAGGCAGCAGGGAATGAGAGGCCAGCCTGGGAGCAGGAGCAGGGCAGCATGCTGTGGGAAGCTGCAGGGGCTTAGAACCCTGCTGAGGGGAGGCACTAGAGGGGGTGACCCAGAAATCAGCTGGGAGGGCGGCTCCCCAGAAGTCTGTCTTGGTCATGGACCTCCCCAGCCTCAGCAGCTCTTCAGTAAAGAGTGGGGCCACCACAGAAGGACCCCCTTGGAAATGGCAGTATGAGCTACAGCCCAAGAGAGGACCCCAGCCACGACTCTAACCAAGATGACTTAGCCCATGGGCTCTACTATGTGGTAGACCTTCAAGTTGAAAATAAGCACTCTCCTGGGTCACTGAGTGACTGGGTACGTCCCCAACTCCATCAGTAGGTGATTTTGCCCTGTGCCGGCATCAAAGCCTGATGGTATGGCCTGCTGCAGCCACGGCCACACACCTGCACACAGCTAAGACACAGCCTGCTGCCTGTCTAGTCTACTCAAATGTGCACATGCACCCACACACAGATACACATCCACATGTATTCTTTTATCTGCTGCCCATCCCCTCTACAAGTTCAGGACACACAGACACACACACAGACAGGCACACACTCAGACACACACACACACACACACACACACACACACACCCTACAGCTCTCAGAACCTTGTCAAACAAACCACATGATATTAAGTTAGGTATTACAGAAAATCATGCACTGAAAACACACAGTGGCTGGAGAGGCAGTCAGTGGATAAGGGCGATTGTTGAATAAGTGTGAGGACCTGAGTTCAAATCCCCCACACCCATTTATACAGAAAGGACCACACATTGACCTCTAACCCAGGCTGTACATGGCCAGAGACAGGAGAATCTCTGTGGCCTGCTGGATGCCAGTCAAGCTCCTCATTCACAGAGAGACCCTGCCTTCAAAGGGAGAAGGAGACAAACTATAAAGGGAGACACCCAAGTCCTCCTCTGGAACTGAACATATGTATATACCTCCTCACAAATACACACAATACATAGGGCAGGACTCTGTAAACACAAGATACATGATGTATAAAAGCAGCAGACTGCTCCATGGTAAACTCTGACATGAACAGGAGTGTACACACATGACAAGCACCATGCGGAAGACTCTGGACCCCAGAGCATGGTTGGCCATCACTAGATGACCCTGCAGCTCTCTTGTGTGTGACCTCAGTGTGCTGTTTCCACCCACCGCTGTCTCTAGGCCTGTGGGGAAGGCACTGCACTAGGACCAGTTGGGGGCAGGGATTTTCCATGGCCACATGGTGTTTGCAGTCCTGAGGGGTGATGGGACACATGGCTGTATGGGGAGTGATGCTTGCTGTGGCAAAACTCTGCCTGTTCTCTGAACCCCACAGCCAGTGAGCTTGTCACCCCAGATATACCCAAGAACCCCAGAGAAGGGCTGGAGTGTTAACTGAGTGAAGCCTCCTTTACAGGTCAACTCAACTACATCAAGCCTGACCCTCAAATCTACATCGATCTCATCAGTGAGTGCACCTCCCTGGGGAAGGAGGGCAAGTTCTCCACCTGCTTCACAGAGCTCCAGAGAAACTTCCTGAAGCAGCGTCCACCCAAGCTGAAGAGTCTCATCCGCCTGGTCAAGCATTGGTACCAACTGGTATGGCATCTGGCCCATCTGCCGTGAGCCCCGTCTATACAGGGGGTGGAGAATGGAAGGGGTGATGAAGAGGAGGAAAGATGAGGAGCAGGGGGGAAGGGAAGAAGTGGTGGGAGGGGAAGACAGAGAATCGAGAGGTGATGGGAAGTCAAGGGAGGGAGAAGGAGGGGGAGAGAGGACCTGGGAGGAAGGACTTTCCATGCTTGTTATGAGTGATTTCTTCTAGTCCAGTTTCCAGTCAACTAACTCGCTCTTCAGCTGCATCTAATTCATTGTTAACATGTCATTTTGATCTTAGGATTTCTCTTTCTCTCTCTTCTGTTATTTTGAGACAGGATCTCACGATGTAGCTCTGGGTGTTCTGAAACTCACTATGTTGACTAGGCTGGCCTTGAACTCACAGATCTGCCTACCTCTGCCTCCTAATGCTGGGATAAAAGGTGTGCACCACTACACCCCACTTGACCTATAGATCCCTAGTCTGTTTGTTTTTTAACATGCACTGCTACTTACTATGGCTCTGATTTTCCTGATGTGTCAAGTTATGGTTTCTTTAAACATCCATCCTGGAATATTTCTAGAGTTTTGATGTGTGTGAGAGATATATATGGTGTGAGTATATGTATACCTGTTCATGGGAGCACATGCCTATATGTGTGTGTGTGTGTGTGTGTGTGTGTGTGTGTGTGTGTGTGTGTGTGTATGTATGTACATAAGCATGTGGAAACCAGAGAGTGATACCAGGTCCCCAGTCACTCTCCACCTCTTATATCCAAGCAGGATCTCACACTTGAACCCACAGTGTGCTGAATCAGTAGCTCTGGACCTTCATCAGGTCCTGGGGACCCCCATTTCCATTCTCTTAGGCTGGGATTATGAGTCAGGCCCCTCACAAGCCATGTGCATGGCGGGGATCTGAACTCTAGTTATTACCCTTGCAAGGAGAGGGGGACCCTTAACACACTGAGTTGGCTCCCTAGCCTTTTCCTAGTTATTCCATATCCTGCGATAAAACCTTCAAGAGTGAGCATCATTACTATCCCACACCCACCCTCACTCCCTGGCTGTCACTAAAGCTGTCATGATTCCTCCTGTGCCTGCTGGTAAATTCTCAGTCTTTGTGGACAACACAGTCTCCATTCAACCGCTCAGAACTTGGCTATAGCACAGGGGTGTCTGTAGACTGAATCTATATGAATGGGTGTGACTGTGTGCCAATAAACCTGTAATGACAAAAATCAGGTCACAGCTGCATTGACCCCATGAGAAGTGGTCCCCACACAGCAGCTGATGTGACAGCCTATTTTTCTCATTGCCTTTTTCTTCTCAGTGTAAGGAGAAGTTGAGGAAGCCGCTGCCCCCCCAGTATGCCCTGGTGCTGCTCACAGTCTATGCCTGGGAACGTGGGAGTGGAGCCCCTGAATTCAAAACAGCCCAGGGCTTCCAGACAGTCTTGGAACTGGTCACCAACTACAGGCAGCTTCGAATCTACTGGACAGAGTATTATGACTTTCAGCACCAATACATCTCTGACTACCTGCACAGACAGCTCAGATCTAGGTAGCTTGTCCCCTCATGGCTCAGCTCCCCAGGGGGAGGCCCAGGCTGTAGCAGTGTGGAAATGGGGAGGTGGAAGCTTCATATTAATGGAGCATCTCCTGTCCTGTCACTGTGATGGGGCCTGTCCTGCTGTCAGCTGATTGACATGAGGTCCACCAGCCCTGGGAGATGGGGGTGGGTTCTCTTATCTGTAGATAAGACTGAGGCAATGACCTTGTCCAGACTTAAACAGCAGAGGGAGGGGGTATCCATGGAGCAGGAACTGAGATGTTCTAGTTGTAACAGTAGCATAAGGGCTGTGAGGCATAAAACAGGGCTGGACTAATTAGCTATAGACAATACAGTAAAATTGTCACCAGAGGAAAGGACCTGTCTTGATCCTGTGTTGTCTTCAGCCTTCATACCCCATCTTTTGAGACTGGCTGGTTCAATTCTCATCATTACACAGATTAGAGAGACTGAGGGACCTGCCCCAGGACACACAGCTAATAAAGGGTAGAGAATTTGAACCCAGGCCTCCCTGGTCATGGGCAAGGATCCCTCCATGCTTGCTCTATGCATGGGACAAACTTTGGGTAGTGGTGATCTGCTGGGCTCCTCCATTGCCCCTGTGCAGTGGTTCCTAGGACACTGGGTAGATGATCAATTCCCTCTCTGAATGTTGCTCTGCAGGCCTGTGATCCTGGACCCTGCTGACCCAACAGGGAACGTGGCTGGTGGGAAGCCAGAAGCCTGGCAGCGACTGGCTGGAGAGGCTACGGCCTGGCTGGACTACCCATGCTTTAAGAACAGGGATGGTTCCCGAGTGCGCTCCTGGGATGTGCCGGTGAGAACCTGTCATCATCCTGTTCCCTTGCATGCAGCTTTGGTCACTCCATCTATTGGGAGAATATTCAAACAAGCATGTGGTCTTCCCAAAGGTGCCCAGGCTTGTAGGTTGTCCTGCCACACTGCTTCTCAGTCACTCTGTCTCAGAGATTGTCACTTCACCCCTGCAGAGTTCCTGTCACTCAGTGTCCTAAGGAATGACAGTCTCTGCGCTGAGTGTCTGCTTCGTGCTCAGGCTCCGTCTTCTGCTCTTTATCATACGATAATTCACTGGATCTGCACACATGTTCATCCTGTGCTCTTTATCATACAATAACTCACTGAAACCTCACACATGCTCATCCTATGTTCTTTATCATACAGTAACTCACTGGATCCTCACACATGCTCATCTTGTGCTCTTTATCATACAGTAACTTATTGTATTTACACACATGTTCTGTCCTATGTTCTTTATAGTACAGTAACTCATTGGATTCTCACTGGGACTCTACAAGGTGTACTTAATAACTTCTCTTTCTGATGAGCTGAGAAGGCTCAGGGCCTGGGATATGGCTCAGTCAATAAAACACCTGCCATGTAAGTAGGGATGAGGAGCCTACTATCATCCCCAGACACATGTAAAAAAGCCAGACAAGGAGATGTGCCCTTGACATTCCAGTGCATGGACAGCAAGATCCCTGCACAGGCTGACAAGGGAGCATGGTATCCTTGGTGAGTTCCAGTCCAGTGTGAAACAAATGCCAAGGTGGACAGCATTTGAGGAAAATAGCATTCTCTGTTTTTTGCACACACACACAAACACACACACATACACATATTCAAACACACACACACACACACACACACACACACACACACACACACACACACACACTCGCAGGACAGAAGGAGAGTCAGGAGGATATGCAAGCTGAAGCCACTGGCTCAGGGATGCTCAACTAAGGAGTGGTGGGGCTGGGATTCCTGTGGACTCTGAAACCAGTGCTCAGGTCCAGGAAGCAGCCCATCTCTCCTGTTCATTTTCATGTGGTCAATGGGACTCCTGGGGGCAGTGTCACAGCCAAAGAGGTGCAGAGGGACCTGCACTTAGACCTTTCTCTTCCTGGGGCAGGGGACTCTCTGATGTTGTGGAACCAATGATGCTGTGCTTGGCCTCAGGATGGAGCTTACCATGGGTGTGGGGACATTGGAACCAAACATCAGAAAGGCAGGGAGGAAGTGAGAGGGGACATAGGACAGAGGCAGCTGGGGCTGCCCTGGCCGTTAGTGCTGTCCCACATCAGACAGGTGGCGAGGCCCTCTCTTCCACTTGGCAGATCTGTTACTGAATGAGGGGAACTCAGGAGGGGCTCCATGGACCCTCAATAGGCTGAACCCCAAAGGAGTCCTGATGGCCATCTTGCCAACATGGGGATGTGCTGTCCCTTCTTCTGAGGGGCTCCAGGTCGCCAGTTATGGTGACCGCCCTCAGGGCTGATATATATTCCTTCCAGTTAGGAGTGAGGGCTCCTGACATGATTATATGTTTTCTATTACAGGCAGAGGCTGAAAAGCCACAGGAATGTGTTCTGGCAGCACAGCAGCACCAGCCCAGAAAGCTCTGGAGTCGGGATGTGCTCTTCTGCTGCAGGCCTTGACCAGGGAGGTCAGGATGCTGCCCACAGCCCCAGGGAGGGAATGTCCAACCTAGGGTCAGACATCAATTCTCTCCCATCACAGACACCCTTCTTCACGACCTCCTCCAACTGCCTTATCCTCTGACAGCGTTCTCTGGGGGACAAGATATTCAGAAGGGAGGAAAGAGCTCAAGTTTGACTTCTGTCTGTGCATCTGTTGGGAGATTCTGTCCAATGTCTGATCAGCAACAATAAACCACAGCAGATGCCATGAGGGTGTGTGAGATGAACCATAGACCTATAGGTGTTTGTGTGTGTGTGTGTGTGTGTGTGTGTGTGTGTGTGTGTGTGTGTGTGTGTATGTGTGTGTGTGTGTGAGTGTGTGCACATGGTTCAACCAGATGCATTCATGTGCACTTGTTACATGCTCCACATGGGTCGAGGCACTGGGCAACCTGCAGTGGACAGAGCAGAACCAAACTGCTACAGCTTTTGATGCTGGTGGCTTGGGATCCTTCCAGGTCTCTTATACATGAAAGAGAGACAGGAATCCTTGGTTCCTTCTGTCCATGTTCCCAGGACAAGATTCAAGACCTGCCCCATCTCACACAGAAACTATTTCCAGCTGCCTGTGGCCCCGGGGCAGGGGGTATGTGTCCGGTGCACATCAGGGTGCACTGTGGCTGCAGTATACAGGCTGGGGTTCAGGCCAGCGCAGGGAAATAAAAAGGCATAGAATCTGTGACTGCTGATGACTTAGCTGTCTGTGGCAAAGATGAGATCAGATGCAGTGAATTAAATCAAAATTGACTGAGTTAAACTCAAAACTAACTTATTCTCTGTCTCTGTCTCTGTCTCTGTCTCTCCCCCTCCCTCCCCGTCTCTGAGACAGGATCTCATTCTCTGTCCCACTATGGTCTGGAATTCACAGAAATCTGCCTGCCTCACTATCCCAAGCTCTGGGATTACGCATGGACGCATGTGCAAGCATCACCCTTCCCACACAGACCTAATGGTTCCATAATTCATTGTAGTGAGCCAGCAGCTCGTAAGCACATAAATACATGATCCACAAAAGACCTCCTTTTCTAATGGAAAACATACCATCATGTTGGAAGCCTGCTTTCCCACTAGGACAGGGATTTGAATGAGCTCTGAGGGTGGGCACCATGACTTGTCACTTGGAACCCCATGTTGAAGGGGCTCCAGCATGTCTTCATGTGTGAAGATGGCCACCTGGCCACTTTTATGGCTCAACCCATGGATCATGTATGCAACCCCGCCTCATTCAGCAACAAATCTGTCAAATGGGAGAATGGGCTTAGCCACCTGTCTGCTAGGGGACACACTAAAGACCATGGCAGCCTCATCTACCTTCCTCCTGCTTCCCAGCTCACCCCTCTGTGAGTGTGTGTGAGCGTCTGTTTGTGCAAGCGTGAGTTTTTGAGAATGTATGTTTGGATAAAGGAGAGGACACTGGGTGTCTTTCTTTATAGTTCATCTCCTTCTCCCTCAGAGGCAGGGTCTCTCTGTGAATGAGGAGCTTGGCTGGCATCCAGCAGGCCACAGAGATTCTCCTGTCTCTGCCCCCCATAGTTCTGGGGTTACAGGTCCATGTGTGGCACGTCCTAACTTTAGGTGGGTGTTGGGGATTTGAACTCAGGTCCTCACGCTTGTGCTGCAATCACCCTTAACCACTGATGTCTGTGTTTTCAGTGCATAGTTTTTTCTGCTCTACCTAACTTTTGTCTAGGTCCTGAGAGCAGTCGGGTGTGTGTGTGTGTCTGAGTCTTGCAGTTATAGAGTGAATGGGCAGCAGGCTATGGAACAGGTGCCAGTGTGTGGCTGTCTGTGGGTACATGTGCACGTTTGAGTGGACTAGACAGGCAGTAGGTGTGTGTAGGTGTGGCCATGGCTGCAGCAGGCCATACCATCAGGCTTTGATGCTGGCACAGGGCAAAATCACCTACTGATGGAGTTCAGGACACACCCAGTCATGTCATGCAGTGACCCAGGGAAGTCTCTCTCTCTCTCTCTCTCTCTCTCTCTCTCTCTCTCTCTCTCTCTCTCTCTCTCTCTCATGCTTATTTTCAATTCCAATGCCCAGCACACAGTAGGGCTCATTGACTAAGTCATCTTGGGTAGGGGTCCTCTCTTGGGCTGTCATCCACACTGTCATTTCCAAGGCGGTCCTTCTGTGGTGGCCCCGCTTCCCCACTAGAAAGCTGCTGAGGCTGGGGAAGTCCACGACCAAGACAGGCTTCTGGGGAGCCGCCCTCCCAGCTCATTTCTGGGTCACCCCCTCTGGTCCCCTCCCCTCAGCAGGGTTCTAAGGCCCTGCAGCTTCCCACAGTATGCTGCCCTGCTCCTGCTCCCAGGCTGGCCTCTCATTCCCTGCTGCCTGAGACTCTGCACTGTGTCCATGGCTCTCCTAAGCCAAGGGCAGTGGCCTTGTCTCTAAGTTAATAGCAGCAGTTCTCACAGTGGCCAGCAGGGGGTGCTGTGTCCCCCCAGATGTAAAGCCTCAACTGTTCTCTAAAGTCCCCAAGGCCCTGCTGTGCTATCAGAGGATGTTCCCAGTTGTCATTGCATAGAGTTGAGCAATTTGTAATTTTGGAGACACACTGTGTGTCAGGCCTGGTGTAAGATCTTTACAAAGAGAATCATTAATATTTAATCATAACATGTGTGTAAGTTGGGGGCTGGGGTAGTGGGGGCTGGGGTGGTGGTGGTTGGTTTCCAGTTTTCCTGAGGCACACAGTACTCCTCTGAGAAGTTCTGTATCCTGCATAACCCCTCCCACAGACATCTAGACCTCTGTCCAGGTCTGAGGTCTCCCATTCTTTGGGAGAAGACGCACCAGATACTAATTTTCAGGGACTTCTACGCTGCCTCATGTCTAGAAAGACAAAAATCCAGAGTCAGCCATGAATAATGCTGGTAAGCTGAGGGCTGGTTTGTATAACAGTTTGACCATAACTCCTCGGTTTTAGCTAAAAAAACATAAATCTGTACCAGGCATGCCCTTAATAGTTGTTGACCTTTGCTCTGGAATTCCTGTGAGCTCCTAACCATCTGCAACACACCATCTAGACACTCTCACCCCTGCCTCCTGCCTTGTGCCTCTCTCCGGCCTTGTCCAGACAATGGAGCCCTGCCTGCTATTCCGAGAGACTCAGGCAGTACGGGGCCTCTCTCTTTGCTTTCCAGCTGCTGGGAATAAGGGACCCAGGCCAGAGGGCTTTGTGAGTCCAGCCAGATGCATAAGAGGGGCAAACCCAAGTGGCTGACTTGGAAGCCAAGCAGCTGCAGGATATATTGGGGTGCCCTACCCAGAACTGCGAGGAGATGTCTGCCAGAAAATTCAACTCTCTCTGTCTCTGTCTCTCTCTCTCTCTCTCTCTGTCTCTGTCTCTCTCTCTCTTTAAAAAATAATTGAGAGGGATTTTATTTTCCTTTCATGGGATCTTTACGAACCCATATTAATTCCACTCTCTCACTTAAGGTTGTGAACACTCACCATGAGAGGCCCGAGGTTCCTACCTCTAATTTCTTTAAAAAAAAAAATTTTTTTTTTTATTTTGGTATCTTCTCCAAGGACAGAGACCACATTAAGAACCAGATTTCCTTGGTCTGTTGTGGTCACTTTAGATGGGGAAGGCGCTAAGGGGGTTCAGAGCTGTGCACCAGGGTCAGGGGGTAAGAGATGTGGGGGAAGCAAGTGCTGTGGGAGCGTCTCGGCCTGGGAGCTCCTGGGGATCTGTTCCATGCTTTAGAGCAGTTAGCACAGCCTGCCTCCCTGCCCACCCGCCTCCTAGTACCCTTGCTTCCTGTAGGATCAGCCTGGTCCAGGGTTACTGGCCTGCACATGTCCAGAGAGGGACAGAGGAGCTGGGACATCCCCAGCCTTTCTCCAGGAAGAGACACTGAGGTCTAACTCTCAGGACCTCAGGTGAAATGTCATGAAGAAGTGGGGCTGTGCTAAGTGATGGTCATCAGGATGACTGCTGGCCCGAGGCTGCTGGCTTCCTTGGGTGATGGAGACATTGGGCAGAGCTGTGCACACAGGGCGCTGTGGTGTGAGGGAGGAGGCAGGGAGTGGACAGCAGGAGCCAGCAGAAGGCAGAGGCAGGAGCAGAGTCTCCCTTGGGACACTGGAAGGGACCAGCCCGCTGATGTCTTGACCTTGGGTCTCTAACCCAGAACCACTCTGCTCTTGAACCCCCACTGTCACTCTGTCACATGAGTGTTTCTACACTTTGTCCCTGCAGCCCTAGGGAATGACCCGCTCCCTCGTCATCTCCCTCCTCCCTGTCTGTCCCCAACTACCCCACTCTGCTCCTTTGTGTGTTTCTTCTGGTTTTTATTCCACCTCTGGGTCTTTGCAGAGGCTGTTCCCAGGGCCTTGCATGCTGGTCCACTCCTGCATTTGGCTGGAGGTTCAGCATGCTTCAGTCCTCAGCTAAGACATCCCTTCTTTAGGGAACTACTCAGGAGCACTTTGTATGTCCCAGGCAGAGTCAAATGCCCTTCCTCCCTCCCACAGGATCTTGTCAATTGAAGTTCCTGGGGAAGAGAGAAGGAAAGCCACAGAGAGGTTAAGACTCCTCGAAGCTGAATACCTAATTAGAACTTTGTGATGGAGAGTTGGGATGTTGTAGATCCGGAGACGAATTATGGTGAGCTCTCTTTAGTATTTTTAATAATCAATCATTGCCCACTGTATCTTACCCATCTGGGAACCAAGCCAATAAGGACTGCCCTGGCAAGATATACCTCTAGGGGCAATTGTGGGTATGGATGTTGTGGGGATCACTGGCCACATTCTGACTGGATTTGAGGCCCACAACACAAGAGGAAACTCCAACCTGGTTCTGCACATCTGATCAAGGACCCATGTCTGGGAGATCACTACTACAGCCATTTTGATAAATGGACATTATCAGGCTGCCCTCTACAACTCTATACCCAATGTTATGGCAGCATTACTCAACCAAAGTTCCCACTTCTCAGAGGACTCT